TGATAATGCCAGGATTCATATTTTATAAAATATTGAATGAACTTTAAGACATGCATAAAATACTTAAATAAGCTGCATAGTCATCTATCAAAATATCGATAACCACACTTTAAAAGCGTGCAAATACAATTTAATAGAAAGTGCACTTTTGAGTTTTTTTGGTCAAACTTGGTCCCGTACATATTTAAAAATACAACAAAAAAAAGTTGTTCAAAAGATTACATCTTTCTTTGTGTTAAGTATGTAGTAAAAAATTAAACAGAAAATCTTTCACATAAAATAAGTTATGCGCCGTTTAATTTGTCTGATGAATAATTTTATTTTTTTCACATTTATGCTAACTTTGTTTATACTAATTTTAGACTATTTCTGTATAACTGTCGATATATAGAGAAAAATGTGTGAGCTATCTAATAGTTCATAAAATATTCACCATATTAAAGCTAAGAAGAGAGAATTTTACACAAGAATACTTTCACTTGTTTAAAGTAATTCATTAGGTATTTTCGATGTAAATAAGATTGGTGGTTAAATATTCAAAAAAGCCGACGCTGATGAATTTCCTTTAACTGGCCTGTATAGTGAGAATCACGAGATCGTGACAGTGGAGCATGAACGTATTTAGTGTGCCTATCCTGTTTTCTTCTCTATTAAGGATATTAATCAGATTTAATCAAGTTAAAGCCGGTAACCGGGTATGGTAGGTGGTTGCCAACCGTCAAAATCTGTGTGTCTTTAAATTGAAACTTCCAATTCATTCATAATACGGTATATCCTCCTTCTAAGACACTTCCCCTCTCCTGCGGCATCCCTCAGGGTTTCTTCCTACTCCTACTCTGTTTGCTATTTATATAAATTACCTTCTTCTCCTGATCCATAACTCCCAATACCATATCTATGAAGATGAATTCCAAATATACCTGGCCTTCCCTCCTTCTGACCTATTATCAGCCACAAAAAAACTTCAAAAGGACTTAAATAGAATCTGTGTGTGGGCGGATGCGAACAATTTGAAGTTGAATGACGAGAAGACCAAAGCAATTTTGATAGGCTTCAGTCACCTCCTTAAAATTTTTCCCAATATACTAACCCTGTTCCTACACGATAATCCCATCAAATTCTATCACACCATCAAGAACCTAGGAAAAACCTTTGATCAAACCCTTTTCTAGAAAAACCATGTATTCCATATTTCCCGTCGTGCCTTTTCCATTTTGAAATGAATAAATTACCTCCGCCATCTATTTCCATTTGAAATCCGTAAACTCTTGATTACTTTCTTAATATTTCCTCGCTTCGACTATTGCTAATAGTACCAATATAATATAATACTAACACTTAGCAAATCATAAAGATAATATAAATTCCAATTACAATGGGAAAACCACTTTTTTCGTTAATTTCGTAAAAAACGTCCACAATCCTGCTCTTTAAGAAAATGAGTAAATAGAATAGTAATAATAAATTTGTGTGAAATTGTTTTTTTAAAACAAAAGAGGAAGACGAGGGAGAGGAGAGAGAGGAGGCTGCTGAAAAATATCGTCTTTGGAGGAAGTGGAAAGTGAATGGATCTTGGGAGTCGAGTAAAGAGTTGAAAGAAAAGGGTGCTCTGGAAGAGCGGGCAAAAGGTATTTCTTGTGGTAAAGTCGAAGGTGGCTACAGTAGATGCCATTATGGCCCAGCGCGTTGAAGTGTTGCCCATTTTAACATTCTGGAGTCTAGCGGCGTCGATTGTAATACGGCCTGGGCTGGTTGAAATTTATTTCGTGGCCTACCCACAGAATCAACCTCGACTTTCCCACTCTGAATAGAATATGTTTGGTAGTAGCTCTAAAATAATCTCCCCTTACGCCAAAAAATGGTGAAGTAAGGGTTAACACAAAAAAAAAAAGTGCCGGTGATATAGAAAAAAATTGGTTGCAATTATATTTTATTAGGATAAATTTTCATCATACTGCTAGTCAGGATCCTTTCCTCACATCTGGGAAGTAAAGTTTGAAATTCCACTACTAAGAAATAGTTTTGACCCGGTAAATAGATAAATGGAGAGGCCATAAATCGAAAAAAATTAAGAATTAATACTTCCGTAAGGTCAACCATCAACGAGGAAGCTAATGTGGAAGTTTAAGTGAAGACGGCACGAAACATGTTTAGAGATCCGAAACACTACTGAATAATACAGGCATAAAAACAAGAAGGGAGTGAAAGGGATAATGGAGAAAGAATTTTTTCCTCGAATAACATATAGCTTATTTATTAAAAAGAGATAGTACCTCTGCGATTCAGTTCTTGGAATTATTCCAAAAGAATAATTTCACATGCATCGTGAAACCTATTATTCAAGATATATCTAAACATTTAGACTCGGAGAGATTATTTGTTGATTTTTATTGAAAATGAAAATGAAAATAAAAAAATGAACCAGTATTTGAGTAAATTGTTAACATATTAAACGTGCCGCAAATTAGATAGACTAAAAAAAATGTTTAAAGGGCTAGGAGAAGTCGAGATAAGAAGGAAAGAATACATTAAGCTGATAAGCCAGCAAATTATTTCAAAAACCGTGGCAGTAAAGATAAAACGGAAGGTGTGTAATACTTTTTTCAGTAGCTCATGATAATGTGAAGTAAATATATTAGTTGATAATTCAAAATTGGTCGTGGACTGAATATTGTAGAGTTTATTACACTAACTACTATGAACACTACGTTATTTACTGCAACAGTTTCAATATAATAAACGTATATTTATAAAAATCTACCCTTTAAGAAGTGTAGTCGTAGTCAATGTTTCTTCGACGGTAAACTGGGAGTTGGTATGGTAAGCAATTACACTTGAACACCTTAAATTCAGTACCAATTTTAATAAAGGGTATTTGGGATAGCCTCCTGACCCCATAAACGGTTCACGACTGATTTAACACAAAATAATTGTATGCCATTCCTGGACTTAAAACCAGGATCCAGGAATAGGAGCTCGGTGCCTTACTGAAATTCCCAAAACCACGAGACCATGATGGTGGAACATGCTGCGGCAAGAATCTCAGAGTAACTAGCTCGAGAACAGAATCTCCACACTCAGATTATGGTTAGTTAATTGCTAAATGGACTCATTACAAGATCCTTCAAAGTACCAATAGCCAACACCATGCCAATTATTCTAACCAACCGTTAGTTATCTTTTTTTATTTCAGTTTGAATCTATGACAGGACCTCAGTGATAGAGTGGCATAGGGGACTCTTACTTAGAGCGGCAGACTAGAGAAAGACAAATGCGAACGTAATTAGCAACTAAGAAAACAATCTTAGCTCAATGATATGGAAATGTGTTTTTATATATTTATTTGATGTTGTCTCAAGTTTCATTTCTTTTGTTTTATTAATTTTTAATTTTTTTAATTAAGTCTCCTGTAACCTTCAGAACGTTACTTATGACAACGAAGTATGGTCTCAAAATCAAGACTAACCCAAGACACATACTAAATAAGGTATTATTCTATAATGAGGAAACAGGTAACATGAGGGAGAAAAACTTTATAGAAACACTTCTTGATCATTTTTCGGATCTAAACATTGAAAATGCTCTGGATGTACCGCATATAGTAACTCCCAATGTCAAACCAACTATAAATACCTCAATTGCCAGACATAAAAAGGATATGGCACTTCCAGTTGAAGCTCAAAAATTATTTTTAGAAAATTTGCAAAAATATAAAGAGTGTCACATCTTGTATATGGATGCCTCAAAAGTAGATAAGGAAGTAGGATGTTCCGTTATAAATTCTAACACTTAAAAACTATTCAAAATTCCGGAGGCTTGTTCAGTGTTTACTGGTGAAATTCTAACAATCAGAGAAGCTCTTGAACACTGAGAGACAAGTGAAACTACCAATTGGGCAGTGGTGACAGACTCTATGAGTTCATTAATATCCATTGAACAAACCAGGTCAAAAAACACTCTCGCAAAAGATGTAAGAAACGTTTGGTGGCTACTAAGGGAGAAGAGCAAAGAAGTAGCGTTCATTTGGGTCCCTTCGCATTGCGGGATCATCGGTAATGAACAAGCCGATCAAGCAGTCAACATGGCAAGAAGCTAGATACAACATCCGTGGAATCAATTAATAAAATTCCTCGAGAAGATTACGTTAAAAAAATTAAGGAGAATGTGTGGAACATGTGGCGGAACAAAAAGAATCTAAATTAAAGGAAATTAAACACCACTCTTGGAACATTAACATTGATTTCCCAGTAAACACCAAAATGGGAAACCTCTCACCGATCCTTTCGAAAAGAGGAGACAGCCCTTTGCAGATTACGAATTGGACATTGTGAGTTCTCGCATTCCTACCTACTAAGAGGACTTGATCCTCCGACCTGCGAGAGCTGCAATTCCAAAGGACAGTAACGCATATTATTCAAGACTGCCCTACATTTGAACCTACAAGGAAAAAATTAGATATGGCACAAAGTCTAAAAGAAAATCTGCAAGACAGTGAAAATGTAGTCAAAAAAACTTTAAGGATTTTAAAAGAGACAAAACTCTACAACAGAGCGTAATTTAAAGATGTTACGAATGACCCTACAAAGTAGACGCAACAAAACATCAAATAAACAAATAAATTTTTTTTTGTTATAATTTTTCTATTGTCTTTATTATTTTATATATGATATGAATGAGTCTTACACAGCTCTAATAATCAATGCTCTTAATCGAGGCAACATGTATGATTTCTCAATAAAATGGGATAAGAAAAAAGTAAATTAGAAAGAAGTTTTAATAAGTAATGGAAAATTATCTATCATAAACAAATACCAAAATGGACACGGTGTCCTATACGTACGGGGTACAGATATAAAGTAAGATTAAAACCAACAATAAGGTATGAAATATTAAAATTTGGGAACTAATCAAAGAGTTCATTATCGGTAATCACTCCCAGTTCTGCAACTATTAGGTCCACTACCAAGAGTACCTTCTTGCTTTTAATTTACGGGTTTGAAATGAAGAGCTTTTCCAGCTCCAGATATTGCGGTACAAAAATATTTTCTCCAAAGGGCGGAGGGTGGGGGAAGAGGAAACCCTACTTTGAAAGGAGAGATAGGACAGGCCGAGGAGGGCTAATGAACTACAATCAAGACAGCAGCCATGGAGCTACTTCAAAGCCTCCGTCAGTCAGCTGTCTCTCCACTAATAGCGTCTCCTGTCTCTACCACCGTTCCAGGCTAATTGTATACTCAACCCAATATATTATCTTATTTTTTCGCCCAAAATCGGCTTTCCTGTGAGGTTTTGCTTTGAATTCATTGTCACTAATATATATATATATATATATATTATATATATATATAGATATATAACTACTGACAGAAATCAACAAAGATACTGCAGAACTTCATAAGCGCAGACATCGACATCGGAGGACTATCACCCTCTCAATAAACATAGAGAGGGGGCGAGAATATCGTTTCACCCTCTAATATTGTGAAAACAAAATTTTGAAGAAAATAAAATCAAAATCAATAACAATTAATCTACTTGATTAAAGAAAATATATAACTAAAATCAATTACAAAAGAAAAGTCGACTTTGAAGTATATAGCTAAAGACTAGAAATAGCTAAACAAGTGTTTTACCACGCCCTATGTTCCTATTAAGAAAAGAAGTTCCACAAAAGTTATAACCCCTATATTTAACATAATCAAAGGCGAAAATAAGATTTTTCTTTCAACGTAATGTATGAATTCCGGTGTTTCCAGGGATGATCATCCTTCATCTCCCCCAAGGTCGATGGCTTACGAACCTCTCTCCCTCTTCCAATGTATTTATTGCTCCCGTCTTCTTAAAAGCAGTGCGAAATACACTCCCCTCAGAAGTTCAAAACACCGCCAAAATTTTGATGGTCCATGAAACCTGCTTCTGGCACCCGTGGTTATATATACTGATATGAGTATTGTTGAAAACTTTATGATATATATAATAAATATTTTCAATTTATTACCAAATTCAAATAAACAATTTTAAAGAGATTGTAAGTAAACTAAAATTATAAATTTCTAGTTTGTTTACTAGCTTATATTTTAACGAGATTAAGAGAATCAGTTTTCCTGTACTTGAAAATCCCTCTGCAGGCTTGTTAAGGCAGAATCTACATGGTCTATAACGCTAACATAAAAAAATATATATAAATACCTAGTCCTGTCATAAATATTGTTTCAAGGAAATATATACAAATTTCACCAAAAAAATCATTTTTCCAAAAACATTTACAAGCATTTATTAGAAAATAAAATATATATCTATAGAGAGTAAAAGCATTCGAGCAGCCACTGCTCAAACTGCATTTGCCGTTCTCACAGTGCAGGAACGGCCCCCTCTCAATAAACATAGAGAGGGGGCTAGAATATCGTTAACTGGGTGAAAGAAAAATACAAATGCTCGAATAAGAAGAAATCCCATTCGAAAACAACAAATCATATCTCTGTCAGATCAATGTCTCACAAAATAAAAAGTGACCTTAAGATGGTTACATTTTGAAGAATCACACGACAAAGGCTAACCACTTCTCTAAAATTTTTACAATTGAAGACAAATTTAATCGCTAAAATGACCGTGTGTACCCACCCAGCTCTAAAGAAGCTGAAGAAATCATTGGAAGAGTGGAAAGAGGTTATCACCCTTCATCATTGATGGTTTGGTGGGGAGTTTGCTTTGATGGCACCACAAAGCTCCATTTTTGTGAAAAAGGAGTTAAAACCTCAGCTAAAAACTATCAGTACGATATTTTGAAACCCATTGTCAAGTCTCTAAATGATATTCTGTTTGCTGAAAGTCATTGGGTTTTCCAGAAGGATTCCGCTCTAGTTCACAAGGCCAGGTCAACTCAGCAGTGGCTGCAAAAGAACATTCCAGAGTTCATTTCTACCTCGGATTGACCCCAAGGAAACACTGATCTCAACCCACTAGATTATCGGCTTTGGTCCGAACTGGAGAGGATGGCATGCCGCAGTGCACACCCTGTCTTGGAAAGCCTCAAACAATCTCTGGTCCGAGGAGTTGAGCTCTTTCCTCAAGAAGTGCTGCGTGCTGCAATTGATTAACTGCCTGTGTCAAGACAAAAGGAGCACATTGTGAGTAATTTTTTTTTTTTTACTCTATAGATATACATTTTATTTTCTAATAAATGTATGTAAAAGTTTTTGGAAAAATGATTTTTCTGCTGAAATTTGTATATATTTCCTTGTAACAATATTTATGACAGGACTAGGTATTTATATATATTTTTTTATGTTAGAATTATAGACCATGTAGATTCTGCCTTAACAAGCCTGCAGAGGGAATTTCAAGTACAGGAAAACTGATTCTCTTAACCTCGTTAAAATATAAGCTAGTAAACAAACTAGAAATGTATAATTTTAGTTTACTTACAATCTTTTTAAAATTGTTTATTTGAATTTGGTAATAAATTGAAAATATTTATTATATATATCATAAAGTTTTCAACAATACTCATATCAGTAGATATAACCACGGGTGCCAGAAGCAGGTTTCATGGGCCATCAAAATTTTGGCGGTGTTTTGAACTTCTGAGGGGGGTGTATTTCGCACTGCTTTTAAGAAGAGGGGAGCAATAAAATATATTGGAAGAGGGGGAGAGATTCCTACGCCATCGACCTTGGGGGAGATGAAGGATGTACATCTCTGGAAACACCAGAATTCTTACATTACGTTGAAAGAAAAATCTTCGCCTTTGACTATGTTAAATATAGGGGTTATAACTTTTGTGGGACTTCTTTAAAAAGTTTTATTTTTACAGTTTTAATGATACATTTAAGGAAAAAAGTTTTTAAAATCAAAGTTCCAAGGAGCTTATTTGTTACAAAGTTCTAGGTTCATGGTAAAAGTTTAACATTTATTTATTTAAGTTCTTAAAACAAGTAATATTAAATGAGAAATGAATAATAGTTGGATTTAGATTAGAGTATTAATTTATCATAAATGAATTACTTGATTCTAATGTTTTGTTTGTTTGATTAGATAAGAATTAAAGTATTTTTTTTTTTTTAGATTTTTCTGCGAAATCAACAGGACTTCTACAAACATTTTTTTGAAAATAAATGTTCTATGAAATCTTAACTTAAATATTTGCAAGGGAAGTTCTAAGTTCAAAATAATAAACAACAAAGATTCCATTCATAACGAAACTTTGTTAAAAGATAAAAATTCCAGCAAATCATGAATAAACTTTGATTTACAAATATCAGCAATATAATCTGGCTTAGTAATTACCAATTCTAACAGAACTTTATGCAGAAATGTCAGCATACATTATGACAGAAAAGAAAGGTCAAAGCTTCAGGGTTGAGAAAGGGGTTCGTCAGGGAGACCCATTATCACCTATGTTGTTTATCTTGGTGTTGGAGCTGGTGTTTTGGAATCTTGAATGGGGGAATGTTGGTATAAGGGTGAATGGTAAATGGTTGAGCAATTTACGTTTTGCCGATTACATCGTGCTCTTTGCCAAAAACAGTCAACAATTGAAGGAAATGATTACATAACTTTTAAGGTTGTGCGAACAAGTCGGTTTATATCCAAACTATGACAAAATCAAAATAATGTCAAATAGGGAGCCAAAAGAAATAAAAATAAATAAATACACCTTAGAATATGTAGACGAATATGTGTATCTAGGCCAGCTGGTGTCCTTCTCGGATAGAGCAACAAAAGAAGTACAGAGAAGAATCGCAATGGGATGGAACAAGTTTTGATCACTGAGGCACATAATAAAGGAGATTTAGATGTGGATCTTAAAAGACAGACCTTCGATAGCTGTATCCTCCCAGTAGTGACATGTGGTTCTCAAACTTGGTCGTTAACTAAGCCCCACGAGAGAAAAATCCAAGTGTGGCTGAACAGTATTGAGAGGAGTATTATGAAGGTAAAGAAAAGAGACAAAATAAGATGCACTAAACTAAGGAAAGAAACAGACCTCAAAGATACAATTTTACAGTTGAGGAAAATTAAATGGAAATGGGCTGGTCACCTCTTCTGTAGCAATGATGTTAGGTGGTCGAAAATAACAACCGAGTGGACGCCATATGATCTAAAAAGGAAGAGAGACCGACCAGTGAAGAGATGGTGCGATGTATTCAGGCTGACGATGGGACCCATCTCGTGGAGAGACGCTAAAGACAGGGTTATATGGAAAAAGAAATGGACAGAGCTCACGAACCCCGCTTCTCAACAGGGCTAGTCACCCAGAGAAGTGCTGACTACTACTCCCTCACGGGAAGGCCTGTGCAGGAAGAAAGACATAGAAGAAGAAGTGTATAATAGTGTATGTGTGTGTGCGTATCCATGTAGATATGCATGCTATTTTATATTAGTAGTTATAAAAAAAAAAATAAAAACCATTTGTACATATGTAACTACTTATTTTGCATAATAAAGGCTATTTCATTTCATTTCATTTCAGTAATTAACAATGTAATTGTATAATTTCTGTCATTAATATTATCATTAATGTTTTACTGTGAGGAGGAAAAACGATTTCTCTTCTGACTATAATGTCTTCTACTCCTACACTATATGTTGTTAAATCTTAAATACTTAATTCTTTGTAGCTCACCTAGAGACATCAATATACAAGCAGGTTCCTAATTGTTATATTGATGAGGCTAATTGCAGAGAAGCGAGTCAGTCATTAGTCGGCTATCTTTTGCAGCCTAGAAATAATTAAACTTAGGATAGAACATGGCCGTAAATAATAAATGAGAACTAGTCCTATATCGATCAGTTTTATTTCGATTCCAGAATGTGAAACAATTCTCTCTGAAGCTCTATCTTAATTTAACGTTAATAACTAATTTTTCTAATGGCTGAAAATAAACCGTCTAAAAAGCCTTTTAGATCTGTCATGAATTTTTCATTTGTATGCATGAAGTCAGTTCGCATTCACAAAATTTTAGCATTAAAGTTTAAAGTTAGTGAATACTTTGAATATTAGATGAAAAATAAATCCTCTACATTTTTTAAAAATTGAAGTGTAAAATCTATTTTTTTTTTACTTTGAAAATAATCTGGACAAAGGATTGAAACAGAGCTGCTGCCTTCACCCCTGATTTTCAACATTTATACAGAAGAAGCCCTTAAAGACTGGAAAAGATCGTGCGGTGGAATGGGTGTTAAAATCGGGGATGTCATCTACAATCTGCAGTATGCCGATGATCAAGTTATAATCGCATCGGATCCGGATGATATGAGCTATATGTTGAGGAAGTTGCTAGACACGTATTCCAGATGGGGTCTGAAAATCAGTACAAGTAAAACAGAGTACATGGTTTTCAACGCTCCAAATTTACCCCTTGAAATTGATGACTGGACGCTCAATGTTAGCCAACAGTTCAAGTACCTCGGATACTGGCTATCTTCAAAGAGAGGTAGTGAGGTTGACATCGAACATAAAATAAACAATGGGAAAAGAATAATAAGTTCGATAAATTCAACCCTATAGAGTAAAGAAATAAGATTGGAAACTAAAAAGATCTACCATTCCTTTGTAGAAAGCAAAGCCACCTACGCATCAAAAGTTTTGACAATTGCAAAAAAGGAGGAAAATAGGTTGCTTTCCATGGAAATGGATTTCTGGAGAAGCTGTGGCATATCTAGAATCGAGCGGATCCCAAACACAGCAATTAGAGACAAGGCCGGATGTCAAAAGAACACCATTCACCTGATCGGGACCAGAAGGTTAAAGTGGTATGGTCATTTAATGCGGATGAATGAGAACCGCTGGCCTACGAAAATTTATAACTATATGCCACCTGAAAGAAGGAAGCGTGGAAGGCCAAAGAAGAAATGGATAGAGGAAGTGGAGGAAAGCATGGCAGCCAGAGGGCTCCTTGAAGGAGATTAGATGGACAGGGAGCAGTGGCTTTTGGGTGTTGGGAATATGACTCCTTAAGTTGTAGAAAAACCTAAATAAAAAAAAAATAATAATCTGGTGCGATGAGCGCATCACATAAATTTCACTTACCACTTTACTTTGAGTAGAAATAATTAAAAATTAAATTGAAATGCGCACGCTCGGATATCTTCGTTAGTTGTCGGTCCCACATTACCACACATTATTTCTTCTTATGTTAATTACAAAATTCTATCAAAGTTTATAAATAATCATGTTTTATCACTAGTTACAATGTGAAATGATTACATATACGGTTTTTCTTATGATCAGTGGTTTTTATAATAACATCAAAACAAGTTTAGAACAAATGAATTTTTAAATGACCCCTATTACTTCGTTTTAAATTAAATTAACTCAGTCAATTTAAAAAATTTCGTTATTCTGTTTTTCAATTTCTTTATATTATATTAATATATTTTGATTTATTATATGTTATTGAATAATTTGTATTTAACAAAATAAAAAAACATAATATATACATTAAATTCGAGTAAAAAAAAACTCATTTTCAACATGGGAAATTCTCACTGGTGAATGTTAGGAGCTCATTGCCCGAATTACTATGGCCATGAATTAAATTTAGCTGAATGTCAATTGGACGAGACACAATTCTTCTTTATCAGCAGAAATGATATTTATATTATATATTTACGAGTATATAATATTAATATTTCTATAATATTATTATGATATTACTAAAAATATTTTTTTTCTCTCTTTCCCGCCTCTGCTCTAAACAGCCATTGGCGTTTTACAATAATTTAGTCATAATTACTTTGTGACATTCAGGAATTTAATCAGAAGAGAGATTCGTTTTTCATAATCATCTCTTAAGGAATCTGGCAAGTCTATTTTTTTTTTAAATTTAATTTGTAATAATTATCGCAGCAAGTAGATTATGCACGTACCAAAGATAAGAAATATCTTATAGGATAATGTATAATCCATAAATACTAAAAAAAAAAAAAAGAAAGAAAATTGAGTATTTCAAAAAGGTTTTAACTATCATATTTATTACCAGTTTATATGTTGAGAATTTAAATTAACTAAAAGATTATCAGTGTCAAGATTAAAAAAAAAGTTTAAACTATTTAATTAATGTCGATTTTCGGCCCTTATTGTAGATCATCTTCCTTGGTACAAAGAACAATACATAATAAAGATTTAAATCGAACCTATTGTTGGTTATTAAATTTTTTTTTTAATTTAAATTTCCTTAATTGTATATTGTATGTTCTGGAAATCAACGTACAACCAACTCGGCTTCGATGACTTTATTCTTCTTCCAGTTAACCACATTTTGGATCGTTTTCTCCACTGACATGTTCGTCATATATTACAATTTAATATTACAAATAAAATTATTCTAAAATAAATAATAATTATAATTAATATCAGATTTCACTAAAAAGAAAAAATATCACTTATTTACTATATTCTATTTTTTTATATTTGTATTATTTACGTATCTTATGATTTTGTTTATTTTTACGTATATTATTCCTTTATTAATTGATTCTCTCCTATTATTTTTATACAGAGTGTCCCATAAGCAAAGAGAAATATTTAAAAGGTATACATCAAGATCTATCAAAAAGTTTATATAAACGATTGCCCAATCGCCAACAGTAAAATTGGAAATTTGAGATTTGTGATTTTATAAGCAAGTCACATTTTTTGTTGAATAGAAAGCGATAACTTATAAAATATTTTATTTAAGTTATTAAACATTTCTCCATAATAAACTAGATAAAATTGACATTAAAAGAAAGTAGAGTTACTGTTAAAACTATTTAAAGAAGACTTTTGAGAGGCTAAACACAGCTAAGTTCTGTTATTAAATTATTTATGATTTTTTTTATCACTCTTCAACTGTACTACATTTACCCCACTTTTACAAAAACTTCCTCGTTTGAGCTTTAATTCCATATTAATTAGGTTGAGGTTTATTATGAAAAATATTAAGATTCAGCCACAGGCGGATCTACGGGGGGAGGGAGGGCTTTGGGGCTGAACCCTCCCCCTCCCCCAAAATGTAACCACGTTTATGGTAAAAAATATTAAAAAAATATGTCCTAAAGTATTATTGCTCGTTTAATTACAACAAGAGCGGTTTTCCAGGTGCTAGGAAAAGTGGAACTTTGTAATGAGAAATTATAGATATGATAAAGGACTGGGGAAAATGGATGGAAGTGAGGATTTAATTAATTTAATTGGGATATTATCTGGTCCGAAATCTTTGGTTTGGGATTTACAAATGGATTTAAAGAGGTCGTCAGGTGTGATATGCGAAAAGAAAAAATGATTGGGATTAAAGGGGGGGGGTGTATGAGGGGTGGAGCTGGTGCTTGGACAGAGGGATCGGATGAACAGGAGACAAAATGAGTGTTGAGTATATCAGTTGAAATAGAGATAGTCTGGATGTGGGTGGTAATATGCTACAGTAACTTGCAAAGTCTCAATGCAGGTATATTTAAACTATTTGGCCCACGGGCACAGGCGGATTTACGGGGGAGAGGGGGCTTTCGGGCTGAAGCCCCCCTCCCCCATCCAAAACGTTAAAATATAACCATGTTTTATAGAAAAAAAAATATTAAAAACTCTCTTAAAGTATTATTGTTCATGTAATTACATTTAATATGACTTCAAGTATCACTTAAACACCATTTCATATTGGTAGTTAGTATCTTTCTGTTTTTCCAAAGTAATTATCGTTATATATATATATATATATTGTTTTTCTGTGATATGGGATGGATTGCAATAAAAATAATTGCCTAAAAATACATTTTACTTATAAAAATAAAACAATTAAAAATAATTATTTTTCAAATATGTTTCAAGTAAATTGGTTATGAAATTGTGTTTTTCTTCCAGATCTGTCTTAGGAATTGATATATCAGTGAATTGATATATTGACCTATCAGTGAAAAACTTAATGTTTTTTAATAAAATTTACATTTAAAATAAATAAATCTACTGATGGCTTCAATTATTTTCATGAACGTAATTATTAGGGCTAGGAACATTCAGTTTGTCACTAATGAATACACATCAATTTCAATAGCAGAAATATGGAAGAAAAACACGATTTCGTAACCATCTTACATTAAAAATATTTGAAAATTATTTTTAAATTTTATTTTTTTTATAAATAAAATGCTTAATTTATAATTAAAGCAATTATATTTATTTCAATATATCCCATATCACGGAAAAACAGGAAAGAAAAGCTTTATAACAGTTAATCGTAGTCATTTTGCTGAAAACACAATACTTTTTGGTGACTGGATAGAAAATCACATCATTTTTTTATACAACTTGAGGTGAATCTCAAAATATTTCCTGATAAACCTCAACTTAATTAATATGAACATAAAGCTGATTAAACGAGGAAGTTTTTGTAAAAGTGGGGTAAATGTAGTACGGTTAAGAGGTGATAAAAAAAATCACAAATAATTTATGAATTTCTTTAAAACGGAACCTAGCTGTGTTTAGCCACTCAAATGTCCTCTTTAAATAGTTTTACCACTGGCAAACTCTACTTTATTTTTTTATTTATTTTTTTTATATCTTAATGATATTTACAACTGTATTAAATAAATAAATCTAGTAAATTTGAACATATGGATATAATGGCTTAGTAACTACCCAATGGTAGCACTCTAATGACTTTGTTTTAAAGCAAATTTTAACTAGTTTACAATAGAGTATAAATACTTAAATCGAATATTTTTTAAGTTATCGCTTTAAATTAAACAAAAAACGTGACTCGTCTAAAAAATAACTAATCTTAAATATCCTACTTTTCTGCTAGTAACTGAGCAATTGTTTTTTTTGTACTTTTTTGTAGATCTTAATTCTACTGTCAAACATTTAAATATTTCCCCCTAATTACGAGACACCCTGAATATGCATAATATTAATGATTTAATAATTCGTTTAGATGGAAGTAGCATAGGATTGAATATCGAGTCTCACACGAGATGTAACAGGATTCAGAGCCATATTATTTTTAGACAAAAATGATTATTACGTTAAACTTAATCATACTACAAGCCTGGTAAATATAATGAATAATATACTGATTGATTGTTTCGATGACGAGAATACAGCTTGTTCATTATCTATCCCTAATCTACTGGTGAGGTTAAAATGAGTAATTAATAATGAGGAGAGTTCAAGGAAGAATAACAGTAACCTGTTTCGAGTGTATAACGAAATTAACATTTCTTTCATCAAAATACAATGCTTAAAGTGGCTGAGCCTTGTTATGAGGATAGGGACGAAAGAGTGGCCAATAGGGTGTACAAATACATAAATATATTGTATGCGATCATGTGGTAGGCAGAAGGGCCGATAGAAAGACGGTAAGACAAGATCTTTGCTTATCGAGGATCACTGTTATCCATATTTGTGATGGTGGAATGGCCGTGCACGTTGGGGCGTGGGTCCAAGAGGTAGCCGTCAGGGTTTGGCAAAAAGGAACACGTGGCCCACTTATCGGACTCGTTTCTCCCACCAGTACCAGTACCAGTATCCATGCGTGAGATGGTTGGCAGCTGTTGAGGAGCCCAAGGACAGCCTCATGTGCACTTCATGCCAATAGAGGAATATCTCAATTAGCCACATCATGACTGGGGAAAGGCATGAAAGAATTTAATAGTGAGAGCCAATTTAAGCCTCCGGATTGAGAAAAGATTAAGCTGTATTTGATTGAGATAAAGAAAGATTAAAGAGAAGATTCAAGAAATTATGGTTCTCTGGTACCACTTGGCAAAATCCAGGCTCTGGTTATAACATATTTTATATGAGTATAGCAAATATTTGTAATTATTATGCAATTGACATAATTTATATCGAATAACCATCTTAAAAAAAAAATTAAGAAAATAATGACTGGCTTTCATGTTTATTGATTTGGCAGATCTTTTCTTATCTGATCTTCTTCTCCATGAAATTCTAATTCCTTCTCAATTCCCTTCCATTCAAACTTTTAAAACCTTCCTATTTCTATAATAATTCTATATGAACCTGTATCTGAATAATTAAAAGATGTTATTTTATTAACACCAATAGCACTCACCTGCTAAAACCATAGCTGTCCCGAAGAAGGAATCCGCGACGTATCCGTAGGGTACTCCAACTTCGGAAATAGCCCTGGAGACGATCCTGCAGAGGCAGGTTGCTAAACCTTCAATGACAGCTCCTATGAGGGCAGGTACCTAGAAGGAAGAGGTAGCATCAGCCTTGAGGGATCTAGATGCTCATGCAAATTTATGGTAATGCCTAAGAAGTGGAAGCTGTGACAGCCCTCCTCACTCAACCTAATGGGTCCATTGTATCAACAAGATCAGGTGGAGTACATCAAGATCAAGGGCCTCGGGAAGCGAGCATTATCAGTTACATTTATGATAGGGAATGCAACAAACATTTTTAATTTATATGTACATATACCAACATATGTGTATGTACACACACACACATATATATATATATATATATATATATATATATACACATACACATATATACAGGGTGTTTCAGGGTTAAGTGGTCAAACTGCAAAAATGGACTAAGCCTGTTTATTTGTTCTACCTACATTATCAATTCAATGTAACCATTAACATTCATATTAAATGTTGTTCAAAGTGGAGGTATGTCCGCAAACGCTTTGTTTAGGAGATGGAATTGATAGAATACTAACATGGCCTTTAATCCAAAACTGTATAGAAACTATTGGCAACATAAGGATTAATACTATTTGGAATTAGCATTGGGAACTCTCGATAACATTTATCAGTTTGTAAAAGGATTTTGCAGAGTACTCATCATTATACCTTCCATCTATACTAATGGTGAACATACCGATATCGTGTTTGTATACGGCTTTTGCAATGGTTTTGCTAATGCTGTCCGTCGTGAACATGCCAGGCAATTTCTGAATGTGTGGTTGGCAATAATAAACAATATTATAATAGACCAGCATTTCTTGACGCCTCGACTCAATGCGCGTACATTTCTGGAATTTCTTAATAACGATTACTACGATTTAGTTGAAAATATTCCACTACAACTGAGAAGGAACATCACTTAATAATTAATAATAACAACATTTAATATGAATGTTAATGTTTAAGTTTAATTAATAAAGTAGTTAGAACAAATAAATAGGTTTTATTTATTTCATATAACGTAAATAATTCATAACAACGAAAATCTTTAGTCGTGAATATCTCCTAAACAAAGCGTTTGCGGACATACCTTCAAAAGTAATTTTTTTCTTGTTTTTAGATCCTTAGTTCATTAAGTAAGTATATATATATATATATATATATATATATATATATATATATATATATATATATATATATATATATATACAGGTGTTTCAGGTATGCCTCTGCACACACATATACATAAACCATTCCTAAAGTCCTAAGTATTACCTTTGCGAATTTGTGATGATCGAAAGGATCAAGCCTCTTTCAACATTTTCATTTATAAGCGCAAGTTGAAATTGATATTGTGTTGGATTTACGGAATGAATTTTGATCTTCCCACTATAATTAGAATAAGTTTTAAAAAAAGTATTGTCTTTCTGGTACTTCATTGTTACTTCTTTTTTATACTATAGTAACTAATATTTGCAATGCCCAGAGAACTCTTTTGCTATAACTTATAATAAATAATTTATATAAAGTAAGAAAACAAACCCTTTTTTCTACAGCCTCATTTATTTTGTCCTTTGTTCTCAGGAGCTTTCGGTGTTATTCATTTAAATTTAAAAAAAAAAATACATATTTATTTAATCCATTACAACCACTAATTGTCATTGGATTCTGCCATATTTCTACATACCTCTCTAAAGTGGTGTTTCCTTACTTTAAATATAATTACACCGTGTACCTATTAAATGTAATTTAAATATATGTTCATAATATTTATATAATTTATAATGATTATTATAAATACAGATAGCTTATCCATCCCCAAGGTAATACTGAGAAGCAGCTTGAGGCGAATGAGCCAATAAGGGAGGGATGGCTAAAGCCTATTAAGTGCTAAGCCCCGGCTGCAACTTAAGTGTCTTCCACGAGAGAGCACTCAGCATCGAAAATCTTTAGCAAATTCCCACCCAATTGGATCCATCTTGGCGTGAGGCATTTCGGCGAAAACGATGGAAGGTCATCAGCAGTAATCTTTTAATTATGGTATATTTAAACTATTAAACATTATACAAAACTTGTAGAAAAATGTAAATAACTTTACATGTTAAACTCCTCATGACTATTAAGCTTTTTAAGATAATAATTCAAACGAAATTTGAAAACTGACGAGTAAAGAAATTTAACTTGTTTTTATTCATTCCATTCTAACACCTATTTAACTAAAATAAAGTGATTTTTTTTTTCTCTTCAGACCTAAATCCATATCTGTCATTAAGTTGACAATAAGCGGATCAGCCCTATTGAAGTTAGAAGATTGCATGTAGGCATGAGAAAGAGTGGTACGCAGCATCACCTCATCAATGTTTTCTTCCTTAATTCAGGAAAGGAGATCCCTCATCCAACTCTTTTTCAGTCGTCTCCTGATGGGCATGTCAATTTTGGATATGTTGTTTATAAATCTATTGTTATGTCGGTGTAGTTTAATATGAATTTGGAGTAGTATGTGTTGGTCAATAGCTGGTTGTCGTAATTCCTTATATAATGTTTTGTTGTTTACGTACTAAGGAGCAGCAAATATTAGTCTTAAAATTTTGGTTTGAAATGGTTATGGTAAGGGCATCTTTTTTGCTGAATTGAAAATCTATCAGGCGTATGTCCATACCGGTTTGAGTAGGTATGTGTATTTATTTAGTTTTTGTCTAAATTGATTTAGTTTTTTGGATCTAATTTTAATTTGAAAAAAGTTATTAGAGTATTTTCAGTCACTTGTTGAAAGTCCTTCGTTTCGTTTTGACATGTGGGCCTCGCCATGTCATCCTTCTATCGAATATTAGCTCAAGATAACGAACAGTGTTCACCTAAAATTTGATAGGCATGTGTCTCGTCGGAGCGTAAATGTTATATGTCGTGATTTTTCACGATTTAATCTAATTTTTTTAAGTGAATTCACTTATGATGAATAAGTTTGTAAAAAATATTTTAGTTCTTAATACATTTTTCATTAAATGTTTTTAGTTACAGGACATTCCATATATTAATCTAGATAGAACTTTTTAGTAAGTCGAAAATTCAATGCTTGGTTCTGATATACCATAGGGTACATGATAAAAGTCAACAATGTAAAAACAAAAATTTTTGGGATCTGTTTTTGATTACGCGTCCAAAGCAAACTATTATTATATATTATTACAGTTAAAATAGTTTGTGTTGGGACCAGATTAGCAATAACACAAAAGTGTAGAATCAGAATCTTAATTAAATCTCTTTAAAAAATCACTAATTATCATAAATCCACAAGATCTGCATTGACTTAATCCTCCCAATGACTCATATTACGGAATGCCATATTGGACGTTTAAGCTTTGATTTAGTGTATATACATTATGCATGTTTGGATAAAATTCTAATTTAATATACCACAACATACAAGGGTAAAACAAATATAAAGAGAGAGAGAAGACAAAAAAGAACGGTTGAGTTGAGTGCTCACTGCAAACAATCCCGGTACACTAAAGAAATGGAAAGACTCTCAGGTCATAAAAGAAAGTTGTAAAACCGATACGAGTAAAGTAGCAACAATTGTGGATAAGAGTTCAAAGCTGAGAAAGTGCTTAAATTTTATTGGAAAAAGCACACTTCCGTCAGCATAACGCATAATACGAGCAATCAAATTGTGATAGGTTACAGGTCCTTAGAATTTTATTTTTTTTATTAGTTTCCTGCTAACATCGACAGTCATTCCAATATCTCAGTGTCATATAACGATATTAATGCTTGAGTACTTAATAGCTCTGAAACTCTTATAGTATAATCAGGGATCATTTATATAGTTATAATACCTTATATACTTTAAGACCATAAATATTTTCTTATTCATTTCTGAAATTTTAATTTTAAATTACTTTACAGCATCTGTAAAAAGGAAATGTGTTATTTGGATTTTCTAAATTATTAGCTGTCAAGTTTATTGAAGCTTTTTTTTTATGTTTAAGATCGCCAAATATACTAAATTGATGAAATCAAACAACTCCTTCTCCCAAATAATAAATAATAATATGTAAAAGTAATAATATAAGTATTTAATCTGTCATGATCAATGAATATTTTCTAAGTGATTTTTATTTTATTTTTTTTCTAGCACCAGCAGGAGCAAGAAAATCTGTACACTTCCGGGTAGGAGTTAAGTTAAATGTCGTCGGGTTGGAATGTACGGATTTGTTATGGAGTTAAGTGTTTGGCCTAATAGGTTCATATTGCAAGTCATTAGTGGGCGGGATGGCCGAATGGGCTGACGCGTGTGCACAGCAACTCTGTTGCCCGGCAACCTGTTATATGACTCAAATGATATAAAAATAGTCACGAGTTCGCGTCCCGGTGCCGGGAAAGTCTCCCATAAATCCTCGCCCATATCCCCTGGCCCGGAAAAACTTCGTATAAGCCTTAAAGGCGAGGAAGAGGAGGATAATAAAAAAAAATTGTTACAAGTTATTCTCTTGTGGAAGTTTTTTTAGTATTTGTTGCAGTATCTGAAACCGTTTGAATGTTCAAGTCCTTGGGTATGCATCTGCAATTTTTCCCAAAACTTTAGATTGAAAAGTTTGAATTTTTTTTATATTAGACTTTTTGGCAGGGGCTCATAGCTCCATCCCGCAAGTTCATAAGGGTTTTATAATTAATTTGTAGATAGTAACTTTATTAGTTAATGATAACTTGGAGGGTCTGTAGAGTAACCTGGATAACAATCCAGATCGTTTGTCCAGTTGTATTCTTTTCAGTTTAATATGAGTTCTCCAAATCAGAATCTTGTCCAGGTTGTTGAATGACGCACTTTTTCTGAAGTAGGGATAGGAACTTTATTGAAGATAACCTGTGAGTAATAATAATAGAAAAGTATAAAGATCTAAAAATTAGTAACTTTTTTAATCTTAAAGCTGTCTAGTTGAAATTAATATAATACAAAAACTACTTTAATTAATTATAACTTTCCAGACATAAATGAAAAGTCCTCGAATCTGAGCTAGGTAAAACTAACCATTGTAGTTAAAAAAAAAAAAAATGATTTGAAAAGAATCTGTGGATGACGACTAGTTACAAGGGTTGAACAGTTGCAGATCTTTTTAGTCAGTAACGCGGTGTTACCGAAGAGGTTTCTCCCTGAGGATGTTATTGACTGGATATCCCTGTCAAAGACAGGCTGGCCCGAATTCATTCAATAGGCAATGATGGATGAAATCACCGATGTAATCATCCCCAGCTACTGGTCTATTGTTTCAGATACCCTCCACCTCCGCCCTCTACAACAATCTGTGTCCCTCAGGGTACATATATGAGGCCCATTTTATTTATTATATTTGTTCTACTGCCTCATTTATGTCACGTATATAGGTCGAGTAGCATTGAAGTTGTCAGTGCGGTGATGTTAATTAGTTCGAGATGCGATATCTGTCTATAATTTTATAGAGAACATCGTATGATATATGAAGGGACGTCCCAGATAACCATTTCTTATAATAAAATAAATTTATTTTAAAAATTGGTCTTGAAACTTGAAAATTAAGAATATTATATCATTTAATTTTATCTTGAGCTAAAATAATTCCGTCTTCGGAACTCTTAAGGAAAAGTAAATTTCAAAACCAAATACTGATAACCTCATTATCATAGTAGGCACTTCTGCATCAACATAATTTTTTTTTTGTAATAATTTATTTTATTAATGTTTCAGCATATAAAATCCAATGCAAGTATGTAAAATCCAAAATATTAATACTGTCATAGAATTTAGTCTAGATATATTTCCAACTAACCTGCAAATCTGCAGTGCATGCTTCATAAGCTCTTCCCCTATGATTAATTGTTACTTCTAAGCTCCAGAGGTACTGTGCATACCTGGCAACATACACAATGATCAATGTATCAAATAATAATTCTTGTTTTGTCAATATTATTTATGACATCATAAGATTAGTGGATAAAATAATCTAATTTTAGTATGCAGAGTTTAAGATTATATTCATTCTCCAGTTCTAATCAGTTTACTGCAGTTTTTTGTTTAATTTCGTATAGTTCATAAGCTACAAAATCTCTGCTGTTTCATGAGGGATAGATGGAGTCTTGTTAAAGTGATCATGATTTTTTGTAATTTTAGAGGGGAAAAAAAATCGATGACGATAGAGAGAGTAAAAACGAAAATAAGCCTGTTGAAAAACTTCTTTAGGAGCGTTCGGACTTTTTTTGCGGTGAGTGAATTAGATTGAGCCGTCATATCTGCGATGTGTAACGCTCGAGTAAAGACAGGTGGAGGTGACTAATTGAAGTCTTTTTATGTATGAATTAAAATATCCCAAAAACTAAAAATCGAACCTGCATACTTTAAGCGAGAGAATTGTTCAGCATTTCTCTTAATGGGATATTATTCTAAATTGTATCTTAACGTAACGCTGTGTTAAGGAGCCGTGGAGGAAAAAATGTTGTCGAAAACCAAATGATAACGAGTTATATGGAAGATATGGATTAAAATATTTCAGAAACTAATAATCGGACCTGCATACTGTAAATAAGATAATTGTTCAGCATTTCATTATCTTTATATGGAGTTTTTATTTATAATTTATTTATAATAATCCTTATAAATAATTAAAAAATTATTTATTTATAATTACTAAAATAAAAAAACCAGAACTGACCAGACGATACAATCAACTATCACATCTTTTGGACTACAGATCTCCACTCAACTTACTAAACAAGCGACTAATCCTCACCACCATACTAAGACCTATTTGGACATACGCAGAAGAACTTTGGGGTTCCGCAAAAAACACATACATAAACAAAATTCAAAACACACAATCCAAAATACTTCGTAAAATCGTCAATGCTCCTTAGTTTATTTCAAATCACACCATACACACAGACATGAACGTACCAAAAGTAAAATCCTACATACACAACAAGTACACGAAATTTCATTCTTCTACTCTCAATCATCCAAATCCACTCGTTCTACCTCTATCTTCCTCCCTGTTGCTTGGTGAGCCTCAACGACAACTGAAAAGGCAGTGGCCTAGAGATCTTCTGCTGGCAAGTTAAGAATATTTCAAGAATACAAGAAGATACAATAAACTCCAATACATTTGCTTGATGCGTTACAACGCAGTGGTAAATTTAATGGAAAATAAATAAATAAATAAAAATATATATTTCGTATTATTAATCTCGCCTTGTTGATGTTTTAACTTCTATTGTTTGAATCAAAGTTTTTTTTCACATGCTTTAGTTTTTTTTGGTTGTTATGAAAATTTAAGGTTATTCGAGTCGAAAAATACGCCTATTGTAATTGTTCAGAAATAGGATAAGAAGGATGAAGCCTGAACGATGATGGATGCTGTTTCTCTGTCACTTTCTCCGTGAAGGCTACTTCCGCGGCACGTTTTAGTCATCATTAGTGTAAGGACCTTCTAGTTCTTCTCGAATAGGAATTCTTTTAAGATTATTGGGTTCTTAATTAAGGGAATGGTCGTCTTGAAGAACAGACTTACTTGGAAGCTGAGGATTTTTACATATTCGGTATTAAAAAAAAAAAAAAAAAATGTCTTCATCTATTATTAAATAGAAAAAAACTACAATAGATAGCCACTTTTTTCTAAATTTTAAACCGAGAAATGTTCAAATGATTTATTGTTACCCCTCTCGATTAGGGTACCGTTCGTGAACCAAAAAAAGTAAAAGTAGTGAAATACATCATTTAAATTATGTAACACTATTGGTAATTACTTGGATGTAAATAAACAATTCTGCTCTTATGTAAGTTATTTATCTGAGAAAGAACAGTTACAGTCGATTGGCAATGACAGGTTTTACGTGATTATTTCACACAGCCTTTCTAAAAAATATCTACAAAATACTTCGGTGTAAAATATTGACAATGGTCCTACCAAATAATATTTAAATCAAACTTATAGATACAATAAAATAAATTTTCAAAAATTATTAATCAATTTATCGAACTCGATCTCTTAACTTAAGTAATGATTTTGATATTCATTAATCCAATAAGTATGCAGATAAGAAAATTAATGCAGCGACTGAGAAAATAATAAATCACTGACATTATATTGTATATAAATATAAATATATATATATATATATATATATATATATATATATATATATATATATATATATATATATATATATATATATATTGTATCTAAACATCATTTAACCAAAATTATATTTACATCATATCATATCAATTCTTTCCATCTGCAAGATTTTTCTGTCTAACAAGGCACAGAACTTCCTGCCATGAGGGCATTCTTCGCAGAAATTCTACAGGGGTCAGTATTCGCTCTACTGTTATACACCATATACTCACACGATATTCCAAACAATACAAAGACTACTGCAACCACTTACGCAAACGATACTGCAATTCTAAGAAGATATGAAAATCCTATACAAGCCTCAAAGATCTTACCTCATCATTCAATAAAACTAAATGATTTTCGCAAACTTTAAAAAATCAAGACTAATCCCGACACAGTACTCATCCTTCGACATGAAACTTGCACACATGTTTAACGTGACAATGCCAAAATTCTCCAAATAGATTAAGTGCAATATCTTAGACAAACGTTCGACAGTGAAAAATTATATGGGGTACAAACTTTCTAACATTTAGCCCATTTGAACTTCTGTCCATGACTTTATGAAATACTACACAAAAATGTCCCACATACGTATACCATAAATTTTTTAGTGAAAAAGCTTTCGTTCTATAGTTCCATACAACACATATATTACTTTTAGTGTTGCCCAAAAATGGTCTTGGTCTTGCAGTTTTGCGAGACCAAGACCGCTTTGATTGTCGCAAGACCAAGACCAAGATTCACCTGCAAGAGTCTTGCGTCTCGCAGTTAAATAAAACTGGGATTTGTGCGTTCTTGAGTATTTGGTTTCCGTCTAACTATAAAGTAAGTAGTTATAACACTGAAATCTATTGTATTGATTATTATAATGTGATGTTAATACGGTGTTTCAACATTTGTTATGCTGCTGACGTCAGAGCCCTAGGGCGGCGAATGTCGAATGCATTAAAGTTGTTGAGGTTTTAAAATAAAGAGTAATCGTTTGTTGAATGGTTTACTTTATAAAGGTGATAATTTTAAACTATTCATATTTATGTACGTAAAGATATAAACTTTCAATTTTGATAAAAAAAATTTCATGTTATTTAAATTTAAATATTGAATAGTATTTTACTTTTGCAGTTCAATTTATTATTCACTCTTATTATTAAAAATTCCAGTTAATAAAGTCAAAATCAATTTTTCTTTTGTTTTTATTGTCTATTATGTTCTTTCCTTCTGCCAAATTTAATAAAAATTAATAATTCCTTCAGGGAATAAAATATCAATGGATAAGCAGGCAATAACAATGAATAATTAATCCGCAGAAGGGCGAAGGGTATTATAATATGTATATATATATATATATATATATATATATATATATATATATATTTTTTTTTTTTTTCCCTACGTGGTAACCCCACACAAGGATCGTTTATTTGATTTTCCTTCATGCTCCATGCCTTAAAGACATACTACATGAATTACATTTGTTTACAATTGTTTTTTTTTCTAGTTTCACATGATTTACATTTTTAGTTCAAATTTATATACATTAACAAAAAAAAACACAAAGAATAAACACACAAAAATTAAATCGGAAAATTAAATATTAAACACACAAAGTCAATCCAACAAAGCCAAAAAGAAATCACCCACGCTGCCCATCCCTGGTTAGTAAGTCGAAGTCGATCGATCTAATAAATCTAAGAAAGTCTGTCTTGAATTCAGTAAATAACTTTTGTTCCGTCTCAGGCCAATTTCCTCTTTTGATAATTATGCTTTTTATTAACTCAAATCGCTGTCTGTCAAATCGTTTACATTCATATATTATATGTTTAAAATTTTGAACCTGTCCGTCTTCATCACATAAGTCTGTTTGTATAATGTTGAATCTTTTAAGATATTGTTTTGTATTCCCATGTTCCGTAAGTACTTGCGTAAGTTTGTAGTCATTACTGTGAATGTGTCTGTAATTGTGAATTGAAATGTGTGGTATAAATCTGTGTAAGCTTGGTGACTTAGCTGAGGTCACCCATATGTGATCCCATCTTTTGATGAAATCCAACTTTAAATTCATATTAATATACGATAAAGGAGCTTGATGATACGATGGCGGCAAATCGCTTTTAGCTGCTTCTTTTGCAAGGCAATCGGCTCGTTCATTGCCCTCAATCCCACAATGTGCTTTTACCCATTTTAGAGTCACTACTTTCCCTACAGTTCTCATCATTAACAATTTGTTTCTAATTTGGTCAGTCAAGTAATCATGAATGTCCCAATTATTAACAGAGTCTAGCAGAACTTTGTTGTCTGTATTTATAGTAACGTGAGTATTCGTTTGTAGAGGGTATTCATATATGTATTCAGTAACCTTTAAAACAGCGAATTTTTCTGCCTGATTATTTGAGCAATATGATTCTAATTTATATTGATGTTCTATATTCCTACCATCTTGAGCTCTGAACAACCATGCACATCCAACATTCTCGCCGTCCTTACTACCATCAGTGAAAACATCAGTATTTTCAGAAGTAATTCCCGGTCCAGTCCATAAACTTGTTGCAGGGTGTAACCAAGATTTACAGTCAGTGATTCTTTCTATTTTGTCTAGGGTCAGGTCTTTGTATCCTCTCTTTCCTTTTCTAATGTTATATAAGGTCGTTCGTTCTTCAATCTTCATTTGGATTGGCAACAGCCCTGCCAATAATATTGTGGCCTCGAATGATAGTGTACGATAGCCCTTACATATCT